AACCATCCCTTTCATCCTTATAAGACTAGACGGTTATAGGAAGCATCCCTTTCCCTCCTATAAGACTAGACGGTTATAGGAACCATCCCTTTTACTCCTATAAGACTAGACGATTATAGGAACCATCCCTTTCTCTCCTATAACACTATAAGGTTATAGGAAGCATCCCTTTCCTTCTTATAAGACTAGAAAGTTAGAGGAACCATCCCTTTCCCTCCTATAACACAAGAAGGTTATAGGAAGCATCCCTTTCCCTCCTATAACACTATAAGGTTATAGGAAGCATCCCTTTCCTTCTTATAAGACTAGAAAGCGAACCATCCCTCCTCCATAAGACTAGAAGGTTATAGGAACCATCCCATTCCTCTCCTATAACACTATAAGGTTATAGGAAGCATTCCTTTCACTCTATAAGTTTAAAGGTTATAGGAACCATCCTTTCCTCCTATAACACTATAAGGTTATAGGAACCATCCTTCACTCCTATAAGACTATAAGGTTATAGGAACCATCCCTTTCCCTCCTATAACACAAGAAGGTTATAGGAAGCATCCCTTTCCCTCCTATAACACTATAAGGTTATAGGAAGCATCCCTTTCCTTCTTATAAGACTAGAAAGTTAGAGGAACCATCCCTTTCCCTCCTATAAGACTAGAAGGTTATAGGAACCATCCCATTCCCTCCTATAACACTATAAGGTTATAGGAAGTATCCCTTTCACTTCTATAAGTTTAGAAGGTTATAGGAACCATCTTCTCCTATAACACTATAAGGTTATAGGAACCATCCCTTTCACTCCTATAAGACTATAAGGTTATAGGAACCATCTTTCCCATAACACTATGGAAAAGGAACCATCCTCTCCCTCCTATAAGACTAGAAGTTATAGGAACCATCCTTCTCCTATAACACTATAAGGTTATAGAACCATCCTCACTCCTATAAGACTAGACGGTTATAGGAACCATCCCTTCCTCTCCTAACAACACTATAAGGGTTGAAGCATCCCTTCCCTCCTATAACACTATAAGGTTATAGAACCATCCCTTTCCCTCCCTATAACACTATTATAAGGTTATAGGAACCATCCCTTACCCCTCCTATAAGACTAGAAGGTTATAGGAACATCCCTCTCCCTCTACAGACAGAAAGGTTATAGACCATCCCTCTCCTCCTATAAGACAGAAAGGTTATAGGAACCATCCTTTTCCTATAACACTATAAAGGTTATAGGAACCATCCCTTCACTCCTATAAGACTAGAAGGTTATAGGCATCCTTTCCCTCCTATAAGATTAGAAAGGTTATGGAACCATCCCTTCCTCTAAACACTATAGTTATAAAGCATCCCTTCCTCCCTATAAGACTGAAGGTTATAGGCATTTTCTCCTCTACAAACAGAAGGTTATAGGAACCATCCCTCTCCCCTCTATAAGATGAGAAGGTTATGAACCATCCTCCTCACTCTCCCTCCTATAAGACGAAGGTTATAGGAACCATCCCTCTCCTCCTATAAGACGAGAAGGTTATAAGAACCATCCTCTCCTCCTATAAGACTAGATTGAAGTGCATCCCTTCCTCCTATAAACTAGAAGGTTATAGAACCATCCTCTCCTCATAAGATGAGAAGGTTTATAGGAACCATCCCTTTCCTCCTACACTATAAAGTTATAAGAAGCATCCCTCACTCCTATAACTAAGTTAAGACACCCTCCCTCCTATGAATGAGAAGGTTATAAGAACCATCCCTTTTCCTCCTATAACACTATAAGGTTATAGGAACCATCCTCTTCCTCTATAAGACTAGAAGGTTATAGGAACCATCCCATTCCCTCCTATAAGACTAAAACGGTTATAGGAACCATCCCTTTCCTCCTATAAGACGAAAGGTTATAGGAACCATCCTCTCCTCTATAAGACTGAAAGATTATAGGAACCATCCCTTTTCCCTCCTATAAGACTAGAAGGTTATAGGAACCATCCCTTTCCTCTATAAGACTGAAAGATTATAGGAACCCTCTCCCTCCTAAGACGAGAGTTATAGGAACCATCCCTCTCCCTCCTATAAGACAGAAGGTTATAGGAACCATCCCTCTCCTTCCTATAAGACGAAGGTTATAGGAACCATCTCTCTCCCTCCTATAAGACGAGAAGGTTATTGGAACCATCTCTTCCCTCCTATAAAGGCGAAGGTTATAGGAACCCTCTCCTCCTATAAGACGAAGAGAAGGTTATAGGAACCATCTCTCTCCCTCCTATAAGACGAGAAGGTTATAGGAACCATCTCTCCCTCTATAAGACGAGAAGGTTATGGAACCACTCTCTCCCTCCTATAAGACGAGAAGGTTATGGAACCATCCCTTTCCCTCTCTATAAGACTAGAAGGTTATAGGAACCTCCTCTCCCTCCTAAGACGAAAGGTTATAGGAACCATCTCTCTCCCTCTATAAGACGAGAAGGTTATAGAACCCTCTCCCTCCCATAAGAGAGGTTATAGGAACCATCTCTCTCCCTCTATAACACTAGAAGGTTATAGGAACCCTCTCCTCCCATAAGACGAGAAGGTTATAGAACCATCTCTCTCCTCCTATAAGACGAGAAGGTTATAGGAACCATCTCTCTCCCTCCCATGATCAGAAGGTTATTGGAACCATCTCTCCCTCCTATAAGACGAGAAGGTTATAGGAACCATCTCTCCTCCTATAAGACTATAGGAGTTATAGGAACCATCCCTCTCCCTCCTATACATCTAAAAGGTTATAGGAACCATCTCTCTCCCTCCTATAAGACATAGAAGGTTATAGGAACCTCTCTCTCCTCTATAAAGACGAGAAGGTTATTGAACCATCTCTCTCCTCCTATAAGACGAGTTATAGGAACCATCCCTCTCCCTCCTATAAGACGAGAAGGTTAGGAACCCTCTCCCTCCTATAAGACAGAGAAGGTTATTGGAACCATCCCTTTCCCTCCTATAAGACGAGAAGGTTATAGGAACCATCTCTCTCTCCCTCCTATAAGACGAGAAGGTTATAGGAACCATCTCTCTCCTCCTATAAGACTAGAAGGTTAGGAACCATCTCTCTCCTCCTATAAGACGAGAAGGTTATAGGAACCATTCTCCCTCCTATAAGACGAGAAGGTTATAGGAACCCTCTCCCTCCCATAAGACTAGAAGGTTATAGGAACCATCTCTCCCTCCTATAAGACGAGAAGGTTATAGGAACCATCCCTCTCCCTCCCTATAAGACGAGAAGGTTATTGGAACCACTCTCTCCCTCCTATAAGACGAGAAGGTTATCGGAACCATCCCTTTCCTCCTATAAGACTAGAAGGTTATAGGAACCCTCCCTTCCCATAAGACGAGAGGTTATAGGAACCATCTCTCTCTCCCTCCTCCTATAAGACGAGAAGGTTATAGGAACCCTCTCCTCTCCCATATAAGACGAGAAGGTTATAGGAACCATCTCTCTCCCTCCTATAAGACTAGAAGGATAGAACCCTCTCTATAAGACGAGAAGGTTATAGGAACCATCTCTCTCCTCCTATAAGACGAGAAGGTTATGAGTCACCCTCCCTCAGACAAGACTAGAAGGTTATTGGAACCATCTCTCCCTCTATAAGACGAGAAGGTTATAGGAACCATCTCTCTCCCTCCTATAAGACGAGAAGGTTATAGGAACCATCTCTCTCCCTCCCTATAAGACTAGAAGGTTATAGGAACCATCTCTCCTCCTATATAAGACGAGAAGGTTATAGGAACCTCTCCTCCTATAAGACGAGAAGGTTATTGGAACCATCTCTCCTCCTATAAGACGAGAAGGTTATAGGAACCATCTCTCTCCCTCCTATAAGACGAGAAGGTTATAGGAACCCTCTCCTCCTATAAGACGAGAAGGTTATTGGAACCATCTCTCTCCCTCCTATAAGACGAGAAGGTTATAGGAACCATCTCTCCTCCTATAAGACTAGAAGGTTATAGGAACCATCTCTCTCCCTCCCTATAAGACGAGAAGGTTATAGGAACCATCTCTCCTCCTATAAGACGAGAAGGTTATAGGAACCAACCTTTCATTCAAACGATTCAAAAAAATTCTCCCTTATTCTTCTTGTTAGTTTGCCCTACGCCAAGAATCCTGACCACACTTCCTGAACAACGTACAAGAAGTAAACACTCTTCCTTCTCCTCCTCCTGATACTTCTTCCTCCTCCTGATACTTCGTCCTCCTCCTCCTGCTCCTTCTTCCTCCTCCTGATACTTCTTCCTCCTCCTGCTCCTTCTTCTTCCTCCTCCCTCCTTCTTCCTCCTCCTGATACCTCTTCCTCCTCCTGCTCCTTCTTCCTCCTCCTGCTCTTCTTCCTCCTCCTCCTCTTCTTCCTCCTCCTGCTCCTTCTTCCTCCTCCTCATACCTCTTCCTCCTCCTGCTCCTTCTTCCTCCTCCTCATACCTCTTCCTCCTCCTGCTCCTTCTTCCTCCTCCTGATATTTCTTCCTCATCCTGCTCCTTCTTCCTACTTCTTCTGTTTTCCTTCTCAACCTTCGCTTCCTCCTGTACCTCCTCTTCCTTTATCTCCTCCTCCTCAACCTCTTCCTCCCCACCTCCCTCCTCAACCTTCCGTACCTCCTGTACCTCCTGTACCTCCTCCTCCTCCTGTACCTCCTCCTCCTCCTGTACCTCCTCCTCCCCTGTACCTCCCTCCTCCTGTACCTCCTCCTCCTGTACCTCCTCCTCCTCCTGTACCTCCTCCTCCTCCTCCTGTACCTCCTCCTCCTCCTCCTGTACCTCTTCCTCCTCCTGTACCTCCTCCTCCTCCTCCTCCTCCACATCACAAATCTTTATAGCCTCCCCTTCCCATCCTAAGCTCATCCCCAAGACACCCAGGATGGACTCCAAACTGTGTACTTTGGAGGCCCTTTACCTCCCCACAAGCCAAGTGTGTGTGTGTGTGTGTGTGTGTGTGTGTGTGTGTGTGTGTGTGTGTGTGTGGGAGTAGAGATACTTACTTTTGTGTGCGAGCCAGAAGACGTTCCAGCAAGTCGGCCGCATAGTCTGGTTCAGCTTGTTGTACTCCATCCTCCTCGCGTCCTGTAGGGGATAGTGGTGGTAGTGGTTAGTTGTGGTAGTGGTTAGGTGGTGGTAGTGGTTAGTGGTGGTGGTAGTGGTTAGTGGTGGTGGTAGTGGTTAGTGGTGGTGGTGGTAGTGGTTAGTGGTGGTGGTGGTAGTGGTTAGTGGTGGTGGTAGTGGTTAGTGGTGGTCGTGGTGGTAGTGGTTAGTGGTGGTGGTGGTTAGTGGTTAATGGTGGTGGTGGTTAGTGGTAGTGGTGATGGTTTTGTCATTATAAAGTAAATAAACTATACAGTGACAGAAAGCCTCCCACACCAAACAACTCTCTCTCTCTCTCTCTCTCTCTCTCTCTCTCTCTCTCTCTCTCTCTCTCTCTGTTATTACACCAGGATAGCTGACACCGGCCATCACTCACAAATGAAACACGACCCAACACTCACTCACTACCAGCTACCAACACTTATACTGCGGCAGATTTTTCTCTATGTAAGTATGAAGGTATTTATATACAATGTTGACATAGGAATTTATACTGTATATATACAATAATAAGTATATGTGTGTAAATGTGTATATATTCTGCATATGAAATAGTTAGAAAAATATTTAGACAGAGATGGTGGTAATACTATATATATGGATGCATACACACACACACACACACACACACACACACACACACACACACACACACACACACACACACACACACACACACACACACACACACACACACACACCTCGCTTCACCTTAACTTCAGCCATACAAGCAGTGCTCCTCAAGACTGTCCCTCAAGCGCTTGGCTGAGAGGCTGTGAAGGTCTTTAGTCTACCTAAGGAGAGGAAGGTTGGAGAAGAGGAGAAGAGGGGTGGAGTGGAGAAGGTATTGGGGTAGAGAGGGAGGGAGGTGAAAGAGAGAGGAGAAAGAAGAGAGCTGGGAAAAGCCAGAAAGTAGATAGGGAGTGAAGGAGGAAGAGAGGTGAGGGGGGATGAGAGAGAAGGAAAAAATAGGGAGAGATGGAAAGGGAAAAGAAATGAGAAAAAATAGAGCGGTACAGAGATGAGAAAAGGCAACAAAAAAGAGAAAGTAAGAGAAAGAGAGAAGAATAATCGAGAGAAAAATAAACAGATGAAAAAACTAAGAGATAGAAAGAGGGATCGAGAAACATATACAAACACTTGAGAGAGAGAGAGAGAGAGAGAGAGAGAGAGAGAGAATTTTTATCTTACTCAAGGTTAAACTCAGTGACATTCTAAATAAGTATCATATATGTCTTGTTTCTATCCTACATAATCCCCCAAAAAAAATGGTTGAGAGTTTAATTGACTTTCCTTCATTAACTATTTTAACCTCTTGTGCTAATTACTTCAACAGGAGTGTGTGTGGGGGGGGAGGCTTTGATCTCGCTTCATTAGGCTTCATCTGCATATAGTTGCTCATTTGACTTCTGTTTCTGAAAGCTGTTGATTTGGGTTCACGTCTTGATAGGTTTTCATTTGAACTCTGTTAGGTGATGAAGGTTGACTGGACTTTAATTGCATTCAGCTGCTCGTTTGATTTTGGACACCTGACTTCGTATTGACTCCCTCATTTGACTTAAGATGACGATAGTCTTATTTTACCTTTGATATATTTAACTGTCTATATAAATTTCACCTCTGATGACTATAGTTGCTGATCTGATTTCAAAATTATGTAATATGACCTGTAGTATTATACTGTACTGCTGTAAGCTCTGATAGATACAGCTGCTCGTTTGATCATATGATACAATTACGGTTGCTACTCTTACTAAAGATAATGACAGTTGCTCAATTGATCTGGGATTCTGTTTGTTATTAAAGTTTATTATTCTTCAAAATTTCGTAGATACAGTTCCTATTTTCACCTTAGATAACTTAATATTACTATCTAATTTTGTTTATATATAGTTACTCATTTGACCAAGAAAATAATAATACTCTAATTTACTGTGTAGTTGCTCATTTGACATTACCGCAGCTCCAGAAAAATGCAGATGTTCATTTGATCAGTGGATGGTGATCGTATCTAACTAATTATATGCTCATTTGACCTACGCAACTGATGGTATTAGAATTAGAACGTTTATTTGACACTAAAATTACTAATGGCTGCTGCGCCTTTCCGTAATTACTGATAAAAAATAATCGCTCATTTGATCTACGAGAGTGACGGATGGAGGCTGATTTGACTTGTGCAGCGGACGAGGCTCGTGTTTACAATGCAAATGTTACCAACTCGTGAGCTGTTTAATATGTAGAGTGGCTCAGGTCTTTATCCATTATCGAACTGGGTAATTATAGAAGCTGCCTCTGATTGGTGGATTGAGGCAGAAACTGGCTTGTGAGATAAAGCTTTTGGTGATTTATTGTTTTAATTTGCTCTCTCTCTCTCTCTCTCTCTCTCTCTCTCTCTCTCTCTCTCTCACGGTAAATTAGCGCCAGTATAAGCATAAGGCGAGCGGGCGTGCGTCTGGCGTATGTCACTGCCGGATGGATGCAAGAGGAGAACACCAGACACCTCTTAATTGCAGGCGCTGTGGCTGTTTTTATGTCACCAGATGTAGATCTGTCGCCAAGATATCGTCTCCTGTTATCGTTTCTTGCTATCGCTTATCTTAATTGACTGCCAGTTATCTGTTATCATTATTGCGTCACCTTTGGCTGGTTATCTTAAGTGACGGTAATGATATTGGTGTAGATGTGTGTGTGTGTGTGTGTATTTTTCATCTCTCTCTCTCTCTCTCTCTCTCTCTCTCTCTCTCTCTCTCTCTCTCTCTCTCTCTCTCTCCCTGATAACGTTACAAACTTCGTCAAATGTTCCTGAAAAGCTGAAAAACTATTTTTTTTTTTTACCATAAAAATCTCTCTTCTTTCCAAAACTTCTAATACACTAAACCAAAACAAATTTCTTAAGAGAGAACAAAAACATGAAATAGTTTGTTGTCATTAGTCCTAAGACGCCACTAATTACAGGTAGACCAATATTTTACGTCCAATTAGTTATATAATATGTATTTTTATAAGTGTCATATATATATATAATTCAATTTTATATATCAAATTAGCGCGGTTGATATACGTATAATTAATGAGTTATATAAAGTCAATCAATATATTACGTAAGCAATTAGTGTGTGATGTAATATAATTGTCACTCATTAGCCGTCATGAGTTACGTTAGTGACGGTGTGTGTGTGTGTGTGACGTAGGAGGAGTGTCTAATGGAGTTACGGGGTTAGGTTAGGTTAGGTTACGTTAAGTTACGATAATATAATTCGCTGTTCCATCTTTATTGGCGTACGAGTATTTGTCAATGATATTCATAGCTGGATTTTGAGATGAAGAGAGAGAGAGAAAGAAAGAGAAAACAAGGAGAAAGGGAATAGAAACAATAAGAGAAAGACATAGCATAAAAGAAAGTGGGAAAAAAATAGGGAAGAGAGAGAGGGAGAGAAAAATGAGAAAAAGAAAGACTGGAGAGAGAGAGAGGGAAACAAAATAGAGAAAAGGAATAAAGAGAAAGAAAAGAGAAATAAAGTTAATAAGAAAGACAGAGAAGGAGAAAGAACGGTTAGCGAGCGAGAAAGAGGTAGAAAGTGAGGAGAGTGAGAGAATTTTTGAGAGAAAAGAGAGAAGAGAGAAAGTGATAGAAAGTGAGAGATAGTGTGTGTCATAAACAGAGCAGGAGAGAATCAGCATTCGCCAGGGACACACAAACACACACATAATGCATCTCTGAGTCTCCATGATATGTTTAGTTCCTTTGAGAGACTGTTCCTTTAATGATGTATGATGGAGACTTAACCCCTCTCTCTCTCTCTCTCTCTCTCTCTCTCTCTCTCTCTCTCTCTCTCTCTCTCTCTCTCTCTCGACGATTACAATTATAATTTATTTACGATTATTTAGGTAAATTATCTATCATGCATTATTATAACTGGTAAATTTATTAATTAATTAGTTATATATTTTTTTCTTTATTTTGTTATACTGTGTGTGTGTGTGTGTGTTTTCACTACACTATAAAAACATCAATTTTCACCGATACATTTATTAATATATTTCCTGTGTATTTTCGCGCCTTCTGCCGTAATAAATCTCTGCTGTAAACGATATCTGTTCTCTCATATAACTTCATAACATAAAAGCATCAAATCCATCGCCCAATATCAACAAAACGCGGCTAAATACATAAACAAACAATAGATGAAATGAAGATCTTTTATCACCCGAACGTGAGAGCTGAGCAGAGAATTAGAGCTGAGAGAGGTGTTGGATCCTTTCTGGGAAGAGATCTATATAACTTCAAAGAGTATTGGATCTGACGTCATTTAATAGCCTAACAATAATATAACGCTCAACATACAGTGATCAAAACTTGTTTGATGTGTCTATGATTTCTCCGGAATCTGTCTGTAAATAATTGATTCGTATGTCGCTTCAGCAGAAAAAAAAATTAATAAAAATAGGACATTTCTGGTTCACGAATCTCATTACAACGACACAATATCTCATACTCCAGTAACAATAACGACGACTCAAAACACTGCTCCTACAATACCGTAAGAACGGACTGCGAAGAATAAATTCATCGTATTATGCATTAAAAACAACCACATTATTTACTAACATCATTTTCAAGAATATGCGTCTTATATACCAGCAGGAACAACAAAGACTTGAGGCGGTGTTCCACCAATGACGTGAGCGGGCGGGAAAGAGATGCGTACATTTTCTGGAGGCAATAGAAGGGTCCCTCGAGCACAGTGGGGTTTTGTGTGACGTCTGCAAACACTTGTAGGTCTCTGGTGACTAATTTGGATGACGATATTTTCCATTTCTTTGATCAAAAATAGTACAAGTGTTTGATTTATTAAGAGAAAGGGCGTATTGGTGTATAAAGTGAACGTGTGACGATCCATTTCTCAATACAACAAAAATTTATAGAACAATATTGATTCCACCCAAGAATACACAATGTAATGAAACCAAATTAAAAGGATCTAC